GGGAGAATGATCCATGGGTGTTCTTAGAGAGAAATTGTAGGATTTATTCACCATTGAATATTTAGGAACAATCCTGGACATGAAGATTGAAGATTTAGAGATGATTAATGTATTTTCTCTTCTCTATGCATTAACCTCCCTTTACTCAAATTTTGAGGAGCCCTAGCCGTATTGTTTGATTGAATGATTGTATGATTACTCTTTCTTGTTAATCTTGAGATCATATTCAATATATGCATGTTTGTTGTTCAATTTTTTTTAATAGAGATTATTGATTCTGCTTTGAGGAAATTCCTGATTAGGTCAATAGAGCACCATAGATTGTAAGTAGGAGATCTATTATGCAAAAATGTGCCGATTCAATACTTTGTATTGAGTGAGAGCATCCCCCAATAGAGGAGTGCTAGTGTAGAACGCCTTGATTGGTAGTGTTAGAGAAGGATGCTTCCCTCTAAACAATTAACTCAGGAGGGCCTTTATTGCGTTAACCGAGATTCAAGGCTTAGTTAGGGATTCTCCACATTATGAATGAAGAGTTAAACAAGTTAGAGAATCACTAATAATTAATCTGAATAGTGGCTTCCTGTGAGTCAACACCTATGAGTTCACATGCTGTAATTAGTAGTCTAACCTTTAGTGTAGTCTGTAGAGTAGTTTAGCTGTTTAATCTGAATCTGATTGCTAAATAATAATATGAAGTTGAGTTAGTAAATCTAGAGACCCGGGGATTCAATATTTTAAACTTGACATTATACTACAATCTCTTTCATTGATTACGCTTGGCCTTTGTTAGAAGTATAATTTTAAGCTTTAAGCAATTCAGTAGGAGATCAAATTGGCATCATCAGTGAAAGATTCCAAGTCCATTGACACTAATTCCTAGGCCAACACCGGTACGGTGCAAGCTTTAATTTTAAGGAAGTGGTTAAGTATCATGCATGAACCTCTTCCAACAACTTGAGTTATTGGGACCAGTTGGTTTATGACATGTTATTAGTGTTTGGTTTGTTCTTCAGGTCACGTGTTCAAGTTCTCACGGCCCCCAATATTAACTGTTGTCTTAAAGTACATGGCATGGGGTGGCATGTGCGAATTTCAAGATAACAAATCTTCATTTGAGGGAGTGTTGATGGACCCAGTATTTAACCGACATCATACTATATGTCTTTTTACCATAACACTTTATGAGCATAATTCTGTTATACGTGGGGGTGCAAGCTAGGGTAGCTATGAGATTAGTTCTCCTACCTATCCACTAGTCCTTACCGTATTGCACTTTCACTCACACTTAGTAAGAAGGTAAATGGTAAAGATAGTTAATTCACACCAACAATCATTGTATGCATTTTTCATCCATCCAAGTCATGCTTTCCCATGCAATACGTGGCTGAAAACTTTGATATGGATAATTCATCCCTTGGCTTTGTATGTGTATGCCATGTAAAAATCATATCTTTACCTTTTTTGGTAGGATGGTAAACAGTACATTCTTCTCAAGCAAAACATCCTTGTCCTATTAGTAAGGATACATTCTGATGGAACCTTTGTCCTCTTCATTTTCCATCTAGCCACCCACCTTCTCTCCCATTTCCATAAACCCACGTGAAAGAATGAGCAAGGTGGCAATTAATTAGACATGCACTTCTCATTTCATGGTGTAATGGTAGCTTCTTAAATCACCACCTCATGTTCCACAAGTGACACATATGTTTAGGTTGGGGAGAAGTTTACTATCCGCCATTTACCCTACCTACACACTAATACACATGACCTAAAAGAGGTCAAATTATCTCCCTTCTTTCCACGTGCTTTCTAGTGAGCAAGACAAATGCTTATTTGTCTTCCATTTCTCTACCAATTTCCACTCAACTCTCCTCTTTTACCACAACCAACCCATCTTCCCTTTTATTCCAATAGCCACACGTGGATAACAAAGATGAGGTGTAATTATAACTAATTGTTTCTCATCAATATGACCACCCTGTATGACCATGTGTCAAAATAAAGAAAGGAAAGTCTTGAGTGTCATGGTAGGTTTAAGATCTCTTTTACTCCCCACCATCAATGAGTAAAGGTGAGTATTTTACTTCCTTTGTTCTATCGTACTTAATTAGTTAAAGTAGCCAACCATCCATTGCACTCGGTTGGTTGGGTGTAAATGTATTAATTTTATTTTATTATTCATCACACGCCATCCACCCCAGAAGCAGGAGGCGCCTATAAATATGATGCTCATTTATGCTTTCTCGGGGGTGGATTTTCTGATTGAACTCTAAATCTCTCTCTAGAGCCGGCTAATTATGCCACTCCCGGTTACTCTCCTCTCAATACTGACTTGAGCTTCGAAGCAAGTCCCCACCGACCACCGCCGGCGGGTTCCTCTTTTGCAGGTGTCCATCTCGGAGGCTGGTGGCGGACGTTGGTCAGGAAGTCGGCGCTCACCGGACCTCAAACACATTGAATCAGGCTCCTCGGATCTTGGCATCAACAAGTGTGTTAGGAAGTGGTTAAATGTCATGCATGGACTTCTCTCAACAAGTCGAGTTATTGAGACCACTTGACTTATGACTTAATCAAGTTCTCGCTTTGATCAAGATTTTGCTAACATGTTATGCTATGAATTTTTAAGACTAGACATGAACATTTTTATGTTTTATAGTGTTTAGAATGTTATTCGAATGATATTGCATTAAGGTTATTAATCATAGTATTTGCGGTGTATTTCGAATATTGTAATTGTATAATGTGAAGGATTAAGCTTGTGGGGTTTATTTAATGAATGTAGTTAATGTTGAGTCATATCGTCGAGACACTTCTCATTTTTCGAGGAGACTACCGTCACCAATGGATTAATATAAGGGTAATCTTTATATCAACCAAAACAGTGGCTAATTCATTTTAACGTTGGGAACTATGTAGCAACCTTGCTATATATGTGTTGCATATAGAGATAATTTTAGTTATAAAATAGCGATGCTAATTCATTTTGGTTTTATAAATCTTTGCTACCTGTAAAAAAGGTCCTACTACAAAGGACTTCAACCAATGGTGGCATAGAACCCCTGATACATGTAGCAAAGAAAACATTCACAGCAGTTTGTCCAAGGTTTGAGGAAACCCCCTGCTACTCTCATACTACTTTGCATATAAAACTTTCGAAGCATTTGAAGTAGATAACATGCAATAAAAAGAGCAAAACAAACTTCTCATAGATCTATGTAGATGTATGTAATTATGAATCGACTAGTGTCATCTCATCTTTGTAATTATGAATCCTAGTTCTACTTCTTTCAAAATCAATGCTCTAGTTCCCAAAGAAACTAACTTAGCTAACACAAACTACAGTCGCCATCTGTTGTTACTAGTTAAAATTCAAGGATAACTTGGTTTGCTGCTACTGAATATATTGATATAAGACAAACAAATATTGCAACAAGATTGAAATGATTCACTCTCACATTGGCCTCATATCACTTACATTCCTAAAGATTCCGATCTACAACACATTTGACACAAACTTGCTTTGGTTTGGTACCCTTCTGGATACGGTGGCAACACAACAGTTCGCTAGAGACGGAGGGCCCATTGTAAAGAGTAGTTGGGAAATTTTCCAAAACCATTGTTGCTTCGAGTCCACGACGAGGGAGGCTGAGAGATGCGATGAAATTCACTTTCAACAACGGATATTCAAACATGGTGTGAAGGAGGAGAAAGACGGTGAAGGAGTTTAGTAGAGGTGAATCAAAAAAACTATAAAGAAGATCATATCAACGACAAAGAAACTCATTGGGTCTATTTATTTCTTTGACAGTCAAAATGAGAGGGAGGGCGAGGAAGAAGATGTGATTTTATTTTGTTTGGTTTTTGTTTTTGCGTCCTGACAGCTTGGTTTCAGCTGATGGGCAAGTGTGGACAAGATTTTAACAGACTAGTTGTGCCACATCATAAAACAAATAAATTCAGCTGCATTGGTGCCATTATTTTAACAGCGACACCATAACATTGAGCGCATTGGCATTCGGCATAGCTCCACTTGTTTCCTTTTATGGCCCTGCCATCAAATTAGGCACCAACTTTTGCCCCGTTCTGACTTTTTATTGCAAGTGTTAATGCCCCAGAACGGAGTGTGGAGTGGAGCAAATACAAAATGTGATAATTCAAACATAGCAAGCCGAGCATCGATGTTCGAATTGGTCCAAAATTTGGCAGGCATACATTATAAAACAAAGGGAAGAAAGCATTCGAGTCAAAATAAAGTTAAAGCCCACATTTGAAGAAGAGGAAAAAGCCATAATTCAGCAACACAACATGTTGATTGTTCCCTCGCTGGCTGATTGCTGGTTGGTTGACCAGGCAGCCAAGTCAGCGCTTTATACAGATCTGCTCTAGGGCTTGATCTGAATCATTCACATGTATCATTTCTACCCCCCCCCCCCCCCCCCCCCCCCCCCCCCCGGGCAATATTCAAACATAGTTACCAATCTAATTTTCATCAGAGAAAGGGTTTTCAGAATATCCCAACCAAGCTAGCTGGAGACAATAAACATATGCTCACCACAGTTGCCCTTTCCAATCACTATGAATATAATAGTATTCGACTACGCCTACAAAAAAACTGAGATCTGCAACTTTCGGGGCTTACACAAACAAAAGTCAAATAATTTTCTTTCCCATAACTCAAGTTCGTGCATTTGCTCAGAGACTTCTCAATCTAATACCCATTCCCTTACCGATAGATACTACCCAGATAACCCAAAATATTATGCTCACAATGAACTAGTCACAGTCAACATTGGAGAATACTACACATACATATACGATTACTTATTTCCAATACAAATTCTATCATACGCCAGTACCTATCATGTGGACATCAACAAGTATTTAACATTCTCCCAACTTGAATCATCCTATCACTGAGCTCAGCAAACCCACTTCCCTTGATTCTTTATTTGTAAGAATACAAAAATCATATATATCTATAGCGAACAATTGAGAAATTACACTGAAGAAGCTTGAACTTGAGCAACTTTTGAAGTAGGAGTTGTGGTAGCAGCTGCAGCAACTTTAACATCCTGATTAACTGCACCACCACCAGCAGCAACACCTTGCCTAGCATCCATGGGCGTTGCAGCAGACACCGGCTGGTATGCCGATGTGAAATAAACTTGCCTCCCTGCGCTGTCATAACCCATTTGCACATAACCCTGTTGCTCCGGTAGCCCGACCTTCTGTTGAACAACTCCCATTCCTTCACTGTAAACCCCAACTTTAGTCGGTTGTTGTTGTTGTTGCTGCTGTTGTTGTTGAATGGCGGTAGCATTACCAGTCACCGGCATGGCATTGTACGCCGCTGGTTGTTCCCTATAAGCCTCTTGCAACACTCTCTGTGCTCCATAATATCCTGGATGACCCATTTGTCCGGTAATTGGTCTCAACCCTTGAGCTTGGTACATACCGTTTGATGTAGGGATTAGATAAAACTGGTGCTCGTTTCCGGCAGGCGCCGAGACAGGATATGGTCCGGAGGTCACGTGACGCTCCTGAACGTAGGTGCCAGGCATTGGCATCTGCACATGCACGGGAACAGGGGAGGGGCCGGCGGGAGTCATTTTCTCGGGGACTTTCTGGACGTAGAATTCTCCGGGGAAGCCTCTGGAGTTGGAGACGGCGATGTGTTCATGATTACTGATTTGGAATCGATGAAAGTCTTGGATGTGTTGTTGTTGTTGCTGGTTCATGACCGGGTCGCCCATCACGTGCCGGTCCTCCGACCCGCAATCCGACCCAGCAGAAAAGTCCTTACTGGCTATACCACCGCCAACAACCTCTGGAACGGGAGGGGGCTGACCCAGCGGCGCGGACTCAGCAAGTTTTGCGATCGGAACGCCGGACGGGAAGCCTTTCTCCAAACCGAACAGAAAGTCCGGATTCCCCTCCGAAACAACGGCCGAAGGCGGGGGAGGGACTGCAATTGAATCGAGATGGTGGTCGTCACCACCGCCAACAGGGACGGAATTTAACGCATCGACAAACCACTGGCCTTCGGATTTGGCCTCACCGCCGCCGGATCCGAAGCTCCTCCTAGGGGATAGGTTGAAGATGAAAAGCCTCAACCTAGCCGGCTTGGCGGAGGCGCCACTGCGACAGAGGCGATCGAACTCGGCCATCATGTGCTCGAGATCCTCGTCGTTCGTGACGGAGATCAGGGCATCGAGATCTTCTCCGGGGAGCTGGTACTTGAAGCAGAGGTTGGATTCGGAGGCGGCGGCGGGTAGACCACATAGTGAGGAGAGCTTGGACATGACGGCGGAGTACTTGGCGGTGCGGTCCAAAGAGAGGATCTTGGTCTCGCCGCCGATGTAAGCGAGCTGGTTGTCGTGAGGACGGGGCTGGATTTTGCCGCCGTAGCTGCACATGAACTTGACCTTGTAGTTGGAGGAAGGGGGCTCGTCCCAGGATTGAGTGTCGTCGATCTCGCGGGAGCGAGGAGAGGAGTCGCCGGAATCAGGGTAGGAAGAGTAGGAATAGTTCTCCATTTTTTGTTGATTTGGGGGTTGTATTGCGGGTGGGAATTGTGTGGTTTTCTTTGGGTTGTTGTTAGGGTTTGTAGTGAAATGAGGAAGAAGCCATTTGGGGAGTGGAAGGGTGGCGTTTGGTCATAGAGAAAAAGGAGAAGGAAACGGCGGAGGGAAAGGAAAGTGGAAGAGACTGGAGAGAGATATGGGCTAAAACGAGATGGAGAAGGAAGCGGTGGGGCCAAGCGAGTGAGAAGGAGTGAATAATGGGGCCTGTTACAGGTGATTTATATTATTGGGCAAGAGAGAGAGAGAGAGAGAGAGAGAGAGAGAATGGTTGGGGAAAGGGAAAGAGAATCGCGTGAAGCGGAAGCGTAAAAGGGAAGGGCAACTCATTCTTGACTTTTGTTCATTATGGATAAAAAATACACTTAATTATCTCATAACGATCATCTGATAATTATAAAAATCTTAGTGATGGGGTCATGAGAAATAAATATTGGTGGAAGACTTAGAATTTGGAGAGATGTTAGGAAAATTAGATGTTGATGAAGGATAAATAGTCGATAAAAGAAGCTAAAAATTCTCCTACTATATTCATGTTGGATTAGGCTAGAGTCAGTAGTGGATTTAGAAATTTTATTAGTGGGTGTTATTTTCAAAATTAAATTAAAAAAGAAAAAAAATTTAATTCATTAAATGATAAAATATGCCACTAGTATAAGTTACAACAAAATAAGATAACGTGTTTTCATATTTTGAATAAATGATAAAATTTAATTTGTGTCTACATTGCTCAACAAATCCCCATTAGAACTCATTAATAAACTTATCGCTTATTTGATTCAGAACTTGTTCTTATGCAATCAAAAGCTGAAAAAAAGTTCTTTCAACATTTGTAGTTGCAACCTCTGAATTTAATACTAGTTTGTGAAGTAAATAGATAGATGAATATGATGGATTCACTTTTGTCTTCACTATTAACTAAGTTAATTCATCAATTTATTTTAATCCAAATAATATCTCATCATTCTTGCCATTATGGTAATGATGCTTTAAATATTGAGGAAGAAATGAGTCAAAAGGTGATCAAACTCATTAGGATAAAATCGAGTAAGGCTAATTAGTTTCTCTTTAGCAGCACACTCATCCTCCAGCTAAAACAAGTCATAAAAGTTAACTAACCTAGCATTCACCTCATCAAAATGGTAGTTCAACTCTTACATTTTCATGTCAAGAACCGAGTAAAACAATTCAACCTAATAGTTATGGGGTTAATAGCATTTTGTACTCCTTTATTATGGTAAATTAACAAACATACCCTTCTACTAAATTTTTGCACAAACATACCCTTCTAATATTAAAACGTAACTAGTTTGTCCATTAAGTGACCGTTAAATAAACTGCGAAATGACCAAATTACCCCTCATTTACTCGTAAATACTTATAATTTTAATTATTTTATTTTATTTTGTCCCAAAATAATTAATTAAAAAAATCAAATCCCTAATCTAATTCACTCCCACCCGACCAGAACCGTCCGTCTTTCTCCGCTCAATCACACAGCTGGGGCCAGCTTCCCGGCTTCTACCGGCGATGTTCCGATTGGATATACTCATTGTTATTCTAAAGCTGGGCTTAAGAATCAGAAGGGTGATTGAATTCCATCTCGGCACAGCTAACTAGCTTCTTGAATTATATGATGATTGGATGCCTCACCTGAATTGGGTAGTAGCTGGGCCACGATGGTCGGTGGTGGGGATATATCTCCCGACAAACAAGCTACGCTACCCAGATAAAGACATTGCGCTGAGGAGAAACGATGGCGTAGGAATGTCTAGCCGTCTAGTCGCATCGGTTCTCTCAGTTCCAGCTGCCGGCGAGGAGATGCTGGGAGTAGCGCCGCCGCCGAGTCAAGGGAGATGGACGGTTCTAGCCTCTAGGCGGGTCCGTGTGAATTAGATTAGGGATTTGATTTTTTTCAATTAATTGATTTGAGATATAATAAAATAATTAAAACCAAAATAATGAGTTGTATACGTAAATGAGGGACAATTGAGTCATTTCATATATCTTTTAACGGACACTTAATAGATAATATGATGGAGGGGTAATGTCATTATGTTTTAATAGGTATGTTTGTGCAAAAATTTAGTAGAATGTGTTATAAACGCACTGCTACGGATCGGAAAATCGCTGGAATCGACAAAGCAAGAATACGAAAGCGAGAATCGAAAACACGACACACGATTTACGTGGTTCACTAACACTATGTGTGTTAGCTACGTCCACGGGCGAGAAAGAGCCAATTTCACTATATCGAGGAGATTACAGATTACAGAGGAGTATGAGAAGTATTTATAGTACTTCTCCATGTGGGTCTAAACCCAATCCAATCTGGCAAAGGAAACGGTTACAGACCAGGCCCAGAACTCGAACCCAAATAACATTGAGACCCCCGATTACCAGTCGTAGCGGCTGATAGTCCGATTCAAGTCACATCAACAAATCTCCACCTTGACTTGAATCCTCTTCCTCTGAAATCTCTGATGTACTCTGCTCCTTCTCTCTCTCCTGCCATCAATGCCCCGTAGGGCGGAGTCACCCACTCAAGACATTCAGCAAGTCCAAGTAGTGTTGGAACTTGCCATGTGGAACCGGCTTCGTGAACATATCAGCAGGATTATCCGCGGTGCCAATCTTCTTCACCTTAATCCTCTTCTTTGTCCTCAAGAAATGATACCGCACGTCGATGTGCTTAGTCCTCTCATGGTGGACTTGATCCTTGGCCAAGCATATTGCACTCAAACTGTCTCAATACACCACTGCCTGATCATGATGTAGACCCAGATCACCAACCAGTCCTTTCAACCATATTCCCTCCTTAGCAGCTTCTGTCAACGCCATATACTCTGCCTCAGTAGTAGACAATGTCATCACCGACTGCAGAATTGCCTTCCAGCTCACTACAGAACTCCCAAGAGTGAGTACATAACCGGTCATCGATCTCCTCGTGTCAACATCATCAGCATAGTCCGAGTCAGAATACCCAGACACAAGCACTCTGCATCACTTTCGAAGCTAATCCCCACATCAGGTGTACCCTTAAGGTACCGGAAGATCCTCTTCACAGCCTGCCAATGCTCCTTTCCAGGTTGTATCATAAACCTGCTGACAACACTAACAGCATGTGCAAGATCAGGTCTAGTGCATACCATAGCGTACATCAAGCTACCTACTGCACTAGCATATGGGACTCTCGACATGTACTCCTTCTCAGCCTCTGACTGCGGTGCATAAGCTGAGGATAGATGAACATTTCAAGCACTAGGAGTATTTAAGGGCTTTGCTGAAGACATGCCAAACCTCGACAATATCTTCTGGATGTAGCTCTTCTGTGACAAGAAAAGCTTCTTCTTCGACCTATCCCTGTAAATCTCCATACCCAAGATCTTCTGAGCAGCTCCCAAATCCTTCATCTCAAACTCAGTACTGAGAAGCCCCTTTGACTTCTGGATATCAGACTTCGACCTCGCAGCTATGAGCATATCATCCACATACAGAACAAGATATATCATCGAACCATCCTCTGCCTTGCTGTGATATACATAACAATCATATGGACTTCTGCTGTAGCCCAGCTCAAGCATGTAACTGTCAAATCTCTTGTACCACTGCCTCGGAGATTGCTTAAGTCCATACAAGGACTTCTTCAGCTTACAAACATAGTCTTCTTTTCCCGGAACCTCGAATCCTTCTGGCTGAGTCATGTAAATTTCTTCTTCCAACTCCCCATGCAGGAAAGCTGTCTTCACGTCTAGCTGCTCGAGCTCCAAGTCATAATGTGCAACTATTGCTAGTAGCACTATGATCGAAGTATGTCTGACCACTGGTGAGAAAATCTCATTATAGTCAACTCCTTCCCTCTGCGAGAAGCCTCGTGCAACTACCCGAGCTTTAAATTTCATGCCCTCTTTAGAAGTGATTCCTTCCTTCTTCTTGTAGATCCACTTGTTTGTAACAATCTTCCTTCCCTGTGGTCGTTTGACTAGCTCCCAAGTCTGATTCCTGTCATGGGATTCCATCTCATCTCCCATTGCGGCAAGCCACTGATCAGCTTCACCACCCGAAACTGCTTCTCTATAGGACTGTGGCTCACCTGCATCCACTTCTTCAGCAACCTGAAATGAATACGCCACCATGTCCTCGAAGCCATACCTCTGTGGAGGTACTCCTGCAGTCGCTCTCTTCGGTCTACCGGAAGCAATAGACTGTTGAGCTCGTGCACTGGACTCTGAAGTTTCTGGCTCTGCAGAGACATCCCCATCATGTTGATCTTCTCCACCTTGGTGCTCAAACTCACTCTCTTTGAGAGTTTGCAGCTCCACCTGTTTATCAACATTCCTGCTACCTTCAACAACAGTAACCTTCAACATGGGGTTAAACATAGACTTCTCATCAAATATCACATTTCTACTGAGTATAACTCGATGCTCAGAAGGTGACCAAACTCGAAATCCCTTCACTCCATCTCCGTAACACACAACTACACCCTTCTTTGCCCTTGGGTTCAGTTTACCCTCATCCACATGATAATAAACAGGACACCCAAAAACTTTCAGTGAAGAGTAATCAGAGGCTTACCATACCACACCTCATAAGGAGTCTTCAACTCGATACCTGTGTGAGGTCCACGATTGATTAGGAAGCACGCCATGTTTACTGCTTTTGCCCAGAATCTTCTCTCTAGTCCAGCATTAGAGAGCATGCATCATGCTATCTCCAACAATGTCTGGTTCATTCTTTCTGCAACGCCATTCTTCTGGGGTGTATCTCTCACGGTCCAATGACGGGCAATCCCTTCATCCTTGCAGAATTCGTTGAACTCAGAATTGCAGAACTCCAAACCATTGTCCGTTCGCAGCTTCTTGATCTTCTTACCGGTCTGATTCTCCACCAATGTCTTCCACTGCTTGAACTTCGTGAAAGCCTCACTTTTCTGCTTCATCATGAAAATCCAA